TGGTGGTGGGGGGGTGTAGAAAAGTATCAGAGATAGGTCAGCAAGATGGCTCCACAGGAGAGCAGGTAAAATCTGGTGATCTGAGTAGTTCGATCCTCAGAGCCTCCATTGTCGAGGGAGAGAACAACTCCAGAAGGTTGTCCTCAAACTTCCACACAGGGCTCTGTGCGTGCTGTGCTCGGGCTCCTGTGTGTGTACACACACACACACACACACACACACACACACACACATCCACCAAACAAACAAACAAACAAACAAACAAATGAGTAGGTAAGTAAGTAAATAATTTTGGCATTTTTTTTGTTTTGTTTTGGGTTTTTTTGTTTGTTTGTTTTTTGAGACAGGGTGTCTTTGTGTGGCCCTGACTGTCCTGAAATTCATTCTGTAGACCAGGCTGGCCTCGAACTCAGAGGTCCGCCTGCCTTTGCCTCCTGAGTGCTGGAATTAAAGGTGTGTGCCAACACGCACAGCTTACTTTTGATATATTAATAGGGAACTAAAATATAATAATATTCATGAATGGATCCCAGGTCCTCAGTGTCTGTGATCTTTTAAAAATTGAAGTATGGCCGGGTGGTGGTGGCGCACATCTTTTTTTTTTTTTTTTTTTAAAGATGGATTTTTTTTTTAAAGATTTATTTATTTATTATGTATACCGCATGTATGACTGCAGGCCAGAACAGGGCACCAGATCTCATTACAGATGGTTGTAAGCCACCATGTGGTTGCTGGGAATTGAACTCAGGATCTCTGGAAGAGCACCAAGTGCTCTTAACCTCTGAGCCATCTCTCCAGCCCGGTGGCGCACATCTTTAATCCCAACACTGGGGAGGCAGAGCCACGCAGATCTCTGTGAGTTCAAGGCCAGCCTGGTCTACAGAGCAAGATCCAGGACAGGCACCAAAACTACACAGAGAAACTCTGCCTCAAAAAATAAATAAATAAATAAATAAAATAAAATTTTAAAAAATCAAGTGTTATTAGGTTGCAAAAAGTTTTTTAACTGCTAAATTTCGGCGTATTCATTATTCAGAATTATGCTTTTTTGTTTTTAAATTAATGGGACAGCTACCTTAAATCTCAACACCCCTCATCCTCCCTTTTGGAGACAGTCTTAATGTAATATATGCTGGCCTGGAATTCTTAACTATGTAACCCAGGTTGGCCTGGAACTTAGGATAGTCCTATTGCCTCAGCCTTGTACTTAAAGTTAGCTACTATGCTTGTGCTGGGAGATTGTACCTAGTGCCTCACACTCGATAAGCACACATTCTGCCACTGAACTAATCCCCATTCTCTTCAATTATCTTTTGACTCCTCTTATCTTTCACAACCCTGTAGCTGTACCTTGGGCTGCCCATCCCCCTTGCTCTCTAGAACGACAGAAGCATCCTGGCTGGCCTGTGCTTGCACTGTGTCCCTCTGGACAAAGGCTGCCCTAGCCAGTGTCATCCAGTCTCCTGAGGGCTCTTGAGTCCACCAAATCAGGTAGGATAGACTGTGTGCCTTTGCAAAGTGGAGTTCTCCGTTTTTGGTGTGCAGAGCTTGTTTTTCAAATTGGGTAATGGCTCTAATTCCAGATCAGCACCCAGAGCGTCCTCTCCTTCCCATAGGTTAGGTTTTATATTGTCACACGGCACAATCCATGACTTCTCAGCATTGCTGTTCTCTCCTCTGCTTATGCTATAATACATGGAACTGGATTTCTGAGTTTTTACCAATAAAAAGCAGATTTGCTAGGCATGGTTGTTCACACCATTAATTACAGCACGGTAGACGGATCTCTATGAGTTCAAGGCCAGCCTGATCTATATAGAGAGTCCCAGGCTGTCAGGACTGCATATCCAGACCTTGTCTCAAAAAAATCAAATAAACAAGAAACCTCAAGTTAGTATAGGTCTCTAATACTTGTTTGTTTGCCATCTTTCAGGGAGGGGGCAGAGTGTTATGTAACTCAGGCTGGCCTCAACTTCACTGTCTAGCCAAGGATGACCTGACCTTCTGAATCTCTGCTCTTCACCTTCCAAGTGCTGGAATTGCAGGCATGAACCACCACACCTGGTTTACACAGTGCCAGAAATGAACCCAATGCTTTGTGCATACTCTCTACCAACCGAGCTACACTCCCAGCCCTTGATTCCAGAGTTCTTACGCTTTTTTTCTTCCTTAAGAATTACTTCCTATTGATGTGATCCTTGTACTTTTAAAGAAGTTGCTTTCTTTCTGCTCTCCTTCTCCTCTTCTGCACAGTCAAGTACTCAATGTTTCCCCGCAGATACGCTCTGTGCTCTGCTCTGAGCTGTCTCTAACGGTGTTCCTAGGCAAATTAATTGCCAATTCTGTAGGAGTCTTAACTCCTATAAGTAATCTACCACACTATTATGCTCTGAACAGTCTTAGGTTTATATAAATAAAAAATATATCACTATATATGAGTATATTTTTCATTAGCAACAAATTTATGCCATATATTTAGCAATTCCCACTTGCTATATAAAAGCCTTGTAAGTTAAAGTCGTTTTGTATGCATGTTGATACAGTTTTTTTAAATATTTTATCTTTATTTTATTTGCATTGGTGTTTTGCCTGCATGTGTGTCTGAATGAGAGCCTTGGATTCCCTGGAACTAGAGTTACAGACAGTTGTGAGCTGCCATGTGAGTGCTGGGAATTGAACGTGGGTCCTCTGGCGGAACAGGAACAGTCAGTGCTCTTAACCACTGAGCCATCTCCCCAGCCTCCATTGATACAATTTTTATTGCTTGTATATAGTTTATATTTTGCAAGATCCAAGGTTCCCGTTTTCTAGTCTGAGTTTCAGCCACTGTTTTATATTGCATAGGATTATATTAGGATCATTAGGCTTTAAGGAACTGTGGGTTTCAACTGTATTTTTCATTTTAAGAATTGGATGTCCAAAAAAAAAAAAAAAAAAAAAAAAAAAAAAGAATTGGATGTCATACAGATATGATTATTTATGTTTTTTAACGATGTCACTATGAACAGCAAGATGGGTAAATCCTTTTTAAGCATTAAAAATTTCAAGCATGGTAGAACCACTGCTGTGGAATAGGCATAGATGTCGTAGGCAGGGAGAAGTAGGAGTTATAGGAGATTAGTACTGGGAGGGAGGGAAGGCTGTGCAGACATATATGTATAAAGCTCGGACAGCGATGCTTAAGGAGATAGATGGGGCCCATGAGGTGGCTTAATGAGTTAGAGGTGCTTGCCACCAAGCCTGACGATCGGAGTTCAGTCCTCAGGACCTGCATGGTGGGAGGCCTTCTCAGCACACACGTGCTGTGGCATGTTTGTGCACACACATGAATAAATAGTAGATGGAAAAATTAAAGCTTCTACTACCCAATGTAAAGTTATCATCTGGTTTTTATTTAAATAGATGACTCTTAAAGTAGCTGCTTTTATTTTTAAAGTATGATTTTTGTCCCAAATTGACAAAAATATAGTTGTACAAGTTCTTGGTATTATGTCTCATTGATGAGAAAAAACACTGTTGTGGGTATAGTCAGCTGTTGTTGGGTTCCAGGGGTGTCTTAGGGTTTCTGCAATGAAACAACACTATGACCAAAAAGCAAGTTGGGGAGGAAAGGGTTTATTTGGTTTACAGCTCCGCATCGCTCTTTGTCACTGAAGGAAGTCAAGGACAGGAACTCAAGCAGGGCAGGATCCTGGAGGCAGGAGCTGATGCAGAGGCCATGGAGGGGTGCTGCTCACTGACTTGCTCACATGGCTTGCTCAGCCTGCTTTTTTATAGAACCCAGGACCTCCAGGCCAGGGATGGCACCACCCACACCCAGGATGGGCTGGGCCCTCCCACATTGATCACTAATTGAGAAAAAGCCTTACAGCTGGATCTCATGGAGGCATTTCCTCAGCTGAGGTTCCTTCCTCTCTGATGACTCTAGCTTGAGTCAAGTTGTCACACAACCAGCCAGTACAGGGGTTTCTTTCTTCGTTTTCGTTGTTATGTGTTGATACAAGGTCTCACTCTCAGTTCATGTTGGCCAGAAACTCTAGATTCTCCTGCCTCAGCCCAAGAGTCAGTCAGGGTTTCTCTCATGTCTCTTTCTCTCTGTTGTCTGCATTTTTGAGACATTGTCTCACTCTATAGCCCTGGCTGTCCTGGAACTCACAGAGATCCACCTGCCTCTGCCTCAGGAGTTAAAGATGTGTATCAACTATGTCCAGCATTTTTTTTTCTCCTTTCCCCTTTCTTTTGATCATGAATACAGTTTTTTGGGGTTTTTTTTTTTTTTTTTTTACTTTTTCTTGAAAAATTTTCTTTCACCGGGTGGTGGTGGTGCATGCGTTTAGTCCCAGCACTTGGGAGGCAGAGCCAGGTGGATCTCTGTGAGTTCGAGGCTACCCTGGTCTACAGAGCGAGATCCAGGACAGGCACCAAAAACTACACAGAGAAACCCTGTTTCGAAAAACCAAAAAATAATAATAATAATAATAATAATAATTTTTTCTTTCTTTTTTGGGGGGAATCTCATTAGTCCTGGTTGTCCTGGACCTTGCTCTGTAGACCAGGCCAGCCTAGAACTTGCAGTGATCTTCTTTCTCCAGCCTCTTGAGTTCTGGGGTTATGAGTATGCAGTCAGCTTGGTAACTAAATGAACCAACAACTTTGTATATAAAAAAAAAAAAAAAAAATCGGGGGCTGGAGAGATGGCTCAGAGGTTAAGAGCACTGACTGCTCTTCCAGAGGTCCTGAGTTCAATTCCCGGCAGCCTCATGGTGGCTCACAGCCATCTGTAACAAGATCTGGTGCCCTCTTCTGGCCTGCAGTCAGTCATACATGCTGTATACATGGTAAATGAATAAATCTTTAAAAAAAAAAAATCATTCTAGCACTTGTTATTTTCATATGTTTAATATGTTTATTTAAGTCATGGCTATCTTGCTTGAATATATTATTGATGATTTTAAAAGCCCTCAATCATTTGAAAGTAACTTTTTGTATTTTTATTACAGGTAAATTGGGATATTCACACTGTACAGAAACAGAGGTAAGAGAAATGTATGGATATTTCTGTAACACAGCCTTATACTTTTTGGCATGACTTAAGTAGTGAACTCTTGCTGTGGGTTTTTCAGTTTTCAGATAATGCTATATTGAGAACAGGCACCTATCTTCTCTATTCAGGAAGAGCAAGTGAAAAAAATCAGTTACCTTGTCCACTTGTCTGTGGCATTAGGAGAAATGGCTTAAACATAGCTTATTTCCTGTATTTGTAAAATGACTTAACAGAGTGCCGAATAAGAATTATTTTAAGTTTATCTTTAATACAGTGTGGTGTGTCGTGATAATAACATGCTTGAATGGGAACGCTTCCATAGGGCTTCTTTAGTAGGACAAAATTAAGACGTGGGCATTGTTTCAGTGAGATTAATAATGTGAGATGCTTGGGTATTTCTAAAAGTAGGTCCATCACCTTAAAATACTTTTATCCAGGATTCTCATGTGAAATTTGAGGAGTTTCTATATGATTGCTTGTGTTCCTTGCAGGGATTTCAAGGATAACATTAGACGCCAGGTTGCCTATCTGTGTGCCGTCCTATCCAATAGCAGAGCACCATCCTTAGACTAGAGTATTAGCAACCTTGTTAATGCCTAATATTTAAGAAATTGTAGCCAGTGGTGGGGGCGCACACCTTTAATCCCAGCACTCGGGAGGCAGAGACAGATGGATCTCTGTGATTTTGAGGCCAGTCTGGTCTACAAAGTGAGTTCCAGGACAGCCAAATCTACACAGAGAAACCCTGTCTCAAAAAAACAAAAAAATAAAAAAATAGAGATTGTGTGTCTACTTTTATAATGCATCTGAACATTGATAATTGGTTTCAGTAAATTTACTGTAATTTAGTAAATTCAGAATTTTAATTCATTTTGTATAAAATGCAAGCTTCCTAAAAGATGCTACATAATTAAAAAACCAAAAACAATACATTCTTTTTTTAAATTCAGTTCATTTTTGTGTTTTCTATTCAACTTTCAAAGTACAAATTTTCCAAATTAGTTTTTTTAATGGACGAAGAACTTAATATTTTCTTTAAATTTTTTAAAGATCTTCGTATTTTCATATAGTTAGGACTTTTGATACATTTTTCCACAAGATAGAAGAATTTGATCTAAGTCAGAAGAGAGAAGTGTTGCTATAGTTTCAGGGTCTATATATTTATAGCTATGACATTTTGAGCGATGAGTTTTCCCCCAGACCTTTGCCTATAAAATATTTAAGGTCATTTCTGTTAAGCTCGTAAGACCATGGAACTGTAAAAAGAGAACATATGTGAAATGTTTCATTAGCTCCACGGCACTATTGTAAATTAAGAGTACACAAATAAATACAGTTCACATCCATGTGCATTTGGTATTGCAATGTCCTAATGCAAGGCTTGTCAACAGCCTCCTCCTTCTGTCTTGAGGTGCATTGCCCTGAGAGCAGCATGGTTTTAACGGTGTGATTCCTGCGAGCATGACTGTCAGACCAGCTGCAGAGGCAGACAGGAGACTGGCTGTCCATGACTGAGTCCAGTAGAGAGTTAGAAAGGTGTAAAATAGCACCTTAATATTTTTGTTCAACGGTAGTTCTTTTTCTTCCTTAAAAGTGTTATTTATATTAATGGGCTGCAGGTTTGAGTGGTTAAATTAATAAATGTCTTTAAATTTTGTTTTGATTTCTAGTTTTGTTAATGTTAGTAGTTTACAGACTGCATCAATAAAAGCTCTTTGCAGCGATATTTTTTGTTTTTGTTTTTGTTTTTCAAAGGGTGCCAAGGTTGGAGAACCTGGCACTCTTGGGCTGGAGCTCGCCTACAAGTGCAGCTTGTTTCTGAGAAGTGGAGCTGGGGCAGAGAGGAAGCTAGAGTGCTGTGGCAGCACTCGGGAGTCCCTGCTGGCCGATAGAAAAGTCAGGCCTGGGAGAGTTGCCCGGACTAGACAGGGTACTTCTGAGAGCCCGTCTGGTTCTGAATTGATTTTCTTCTTGAGGAAGGAGACTCCCACGTCAGGTGTGTGGCAGGCAGGCCTGACTAAGAATGTATAGCGCTAGCTGTGTCCCGACTGTGTCCATGCCTGAGCATGTGAGTGGGTGGGGGTCGGTGGTGGAGGAGGGGTGGCCAGCGCCCTCTCCTCCCAGCTTTCTCGTGTCTTCGTCCGTGATGGATTCCTGCGAAGGCGGGCTTGATGAAGATGGAGCATGCCTTGATGTAGCGTACTGTTACTCTTCTTTGAAAGGGGCCTCATGGAGGAAAATAAAATTACCTTTCCTGAGGCTGTAGGAGCCTGATCAAAGCAATGTAGTCAGCATAGAGTTTTTAATAGTACATAAAAGCCATGTTAGGAATTATCTTTTAGCTTTTAAATATGAATTTTAGTTTATTATTTGAGATTTCATAAATGTATACAATGTATTTTGATCATGTTCACTCATTTTCATTCTCCAACTCCTCTTGGATCCTCTTCTTCATTCCCCATCTCCACACTTCATGTCCTCTTTATTTTCCTCTTAAAACATCACACTGAGACAGTTTGCACTGCCCATGTGTGCGTAGGTGTGAGGTCATCCCCTGGAACAGGCCGTCTACCGGGGCCACACCCCTAAAGAAAATGACTCTCTCTCCCTGTGCAGGTTAGTTGTGTTGTCATCTTGACATAAGCTAAGTTCATCTGGGAAGAGAGAACGAAATTGAGAAAACGCCTCCATCACACTTTCTTGACTTAGGATTGTTGTGATAGCTCTGGGCGGATGGTCCTCAGTTGTCTAAGCTGGCTGAGCAAACCATGAGGAGCAAGCCAGTAGGCAGTGTTGCTCTGTGGTGTCTGCTTCAGTTCCTGCTCCAGTTCCTGTCTGCCTTCCTGCCCTGGTTTCCTTTCGTGACGGACGTAAGTGATAAGATGAAGTACACCCTCTCCTCCCTTGCTTTTGGTTATGGTGTTTATCGCAGCAATAGGAAGCAAACTAGAATATTTCCCTAGCAGCTATCAACTAATAGCTCCTCAGCTACGGGTAGGAGCTTGTGAGTCCCTCCCCTCAGCCCATGCTGGAATGGTGACTGGCTTCATTTTGTGCAGGTCTTGTGCAGGCAACCACAACTGCTGTGAGTTCAGAGTGCAGCTGCCTGTCATGTGCAGAAGACACCGTTTAACCCTGTTTCTCAAGGACCCCCGGTTCTTATTGTTGTTCTGCCCCATCTCCCCCAGTGTTCTCTGAACCTCTGGGGAGGGTACGTGGTATAGATACCTGGCTTATGGCTGAGAACACCATAGACATATACTCTCTGCATTTTGGCTGCAGTCCACTGTACAAGGAAGCTTCTCAGGTGAGGACGGGAAGCTGCACTAACCTGTGGGTATAGGAGTATGTATTTAAAAGGCAATTTGGTACTATAGCTGCTTACTGAAATAATAGTAGGGTCTCTTCTAGGGCTTGTGAGCTCACTAGCCATGAGTTTAGGCCACATACTGTACCAGGGTACCTGGTTTCCTCCTGTGGAAAGCCCTCAAATTCGGTATAAAGTGCTGGCTACTCTAACATTCATGGTACTATTGCACCCATGAGGATATCAATCTTGCCATATTTTGGTCACAGAGTTCACAGCTGGGTAAAACTGTTGATGGCCATCCCCTGCAGCAGCCTATAGATCACTTTCTGGTACCATTAGAGCTAGCTGTTATGGACAAAGCTTCAAGGTCAGTACTAGCTTGATTTCTCTATGTCCTGTGACCAAAGTGTGTGGTGTCTTCAGCAATAGGGTCCTACCTGCCATGAAGTTTGGGAAGACAAGTAGGAGCAATGCCTATAGCCTGTATTATTTGGGTTATGTCTTTGGGGACACACACACTACCCCCACCTACACACTGATTAGGTTTTGTTATTGGTTTGAGACCAGATCTCTTTATGTAGCCATGCTATCTTGGAACTCACTATGTAGACCAGGATTGCATTGAACTCACAGAGATCTGCCTACCTTTGCCTCTTGAGTGCTAAGATTAAAGGAGTGTGCCACCACACCCAGCTGGTTAATTTTTTGTCAGCACAAGCTAGGTTCATCTGGGAAGAGGGAATCTAATTTAAGAAAATGTCTCCATCAGATTTGCCTATAGGCAAGTTTGTCAGAGCATTTTCTTTATTAATGATTGATGTGGGAGGGCTGAGCACACTGTGGGTGGTGCTACTCTTTGGCATATCATTCTGGGAAGTATAAAAAATGTAGCTGAGCTGGGTGGTGGTGGCACACACTTTTAATCTCAGCACTCAGGAGGCAGAGGCAGGTGGATCTCGTTGAGTTGAAAGCCAAGCCTGGTCTACAGAATGATTGCAGAACAACCAGGGCTACACAGTGAAACCCTGTCTTGAAAAAACAAAACAAAACAAAGCAAAAAACAACAAAAATAAATAAATAAAAAGAAATGTAGCTGATAGTGAATCTGGGAAGGAAGCCAGTAAACATCGTTCCTCCATGGCATCTGCTTCAGCTCCTCCCGTGACGTCCCTTCATGATGGACTGTAAGCTGTAGATGAATAAAAGAAGCCCTTTCTTCCTGACGTTCTTGGTCATGGTGGTCATGGTGTTTGTCATTGCAGTAGAAACTTAACTAAGACACCCGCCTCCTAATGACTCAAGGGGAGGTATTCCATATTAGAGCTTTTATTTGGCTAACTATGGCTCCTGGGGGTTCTTAATCCCTTGTATAGTGTAATTTCTATTTAATCTCTCTCTCTCTCTCTCTCTCTCTCTCTCTCTCTCTCTCTCTCTCTCTGTGTGTGTGTGTGTGTGTGTGTTTAGGAAGCTTATAAAATAGTAGGTTTCCATATGACATTTGAGACATCTTTAGTATTAATTCTCTTCTGCTCTCTCCTCTGTCTGCCCTCACATTCCCCTCCCATCTTCTCATTTTCTTACTTATACTTCCTTTATAATTTATTTTATTTTTGTATGTTTTACTTTTATTTACTTATTTTGTGTATGTATGTGTGTGTGTGTGTGCTCACACATGCATGTA